CAGACAATCGCGGTCCTGCCCTTTGTTGTTGACGTAGAGTGGAGATTGATTCGTGCTTTTCCCATTGTGTTATGTGCGTAACGGTCGGTCGGGCTCTTACCAAAATCACACTCTGGTCTTTATGTGCTTGGTGGATGGGTTCTCACCTAGATCATGGCGGCCGGGTACGCACTGAGATCGTGCATAGATCTTTAAGACCCACATAATGCAAGCATAAAAAAATCAGATAAGTTAAGCAAAAAGGACTAAACCAGATAGATAAAAAGCACACGATATTATGAACTCATACTCTCACATTTAACTAAAGCACACAACAGTACTAAATAAGTACCCCCAAATGATGAGAAGAACCATCCAACAGTGTCCTCTTATAAACTTTTTGGTTAAGTGACATGACACCTTTAAGCCCCTTTAACATGGAGTTTCGAAACTTGATAAGAGATGGGTCGAAATCAACTCACAAAACCGAGGAGAAGGGCAAGGACAAAGAAGGCATATGCAAGGTACTACCATTTTTCGGTGCAGCAGCTGGCACTCCAGACAGCAGTAACAATGGTCATACGGCAGAGGCAATCAGGCATCATGGTAGTCGGAGCCTGCTCCAGAAACATGGAGGTTAGAGTTTTATAATTTTGGTTTCTTGATGATTAATTAGCCATCAGTCGAGGAAGGAGTCTTGGTTAATTCACCCGTCTTCCAGAACTTGTTGACCGGTATTGCTATGATGAGCCCGTTGTTGCCACGGTGGAACAACCCTTTCAGGCTTGATACTCGAGAGCTGTGTTTGGTACAAAATAGTTTGGTTACTCGGTCATTCAGAACATAACCTGCAGACTTGATGCTCGGAAAAGGCTGAATTATAAAGCAATGCTTCAAAGCTAATGAAGAAGCATAAGTATACTCGGAAAAAATGGTAGTACAGGATTCTGTTCATTATATAGTCGTTATATTTTACACCAGAATTCAGAATCACAAACTTCTTAGGCGATTAAACATCTCAACTGACACTTTCATCAAATCGGAATTACAAAATGAAGATGCTAATGAACTCCAAACAGAAATTTCAGGAAGTTTCCCCTGGCTAATCATGTCCTCCAACCACATAACAGCTTCGTATTGCCGACCTAAGGAACAAAGACCCTCAATGAGCAAATTGTAACTATTGGCACAAGGCCAATATGCTTTAATTGACATTTGCTCCAAAAGTTTGCTTGCTTCAAGATACTTTCTCTCATGACAAAGCATCTCTAGTAAAATGCTATACGTTTCTTTGTCGCCCATGCAACCTACCTTTTTCGACATCTTGTTCAAGCTCTCAAGCACTAATGTCGAACTTCCAACATTACTAAGGTTTTTCAAGAGAATATTATAAACCCTAGCATTTGGTAGACAATTGACTTCCACCATATCCTCTTCAATTACCTTGATCGCTTCATCGACCTTATCAACCTTGCACAACGCAGCTACCTTTGCCTCAAAAATCAAATGTTTTGGTTTAAAGCCTTTGTTTTTCATTTCAACAATAACTTTATCCGCCTCGTCTATCTTACCTTCTTCGTATAGATCAACCGCCATGGCATTATAACTAGCAGTGCTAGGAACCGAACCCTTTACCAAAGCTTCGTGAATCCACCGTTTAGTAACTTCCGCATCTTTACCATCACCATACTGACTAAGATCAAGTTGGTTATAGCATCGCTTTGGAGCTTTCAGTCCTTTCCTCAAAATCTTACCAAGAATTTCCACAGCTTCTTCGAACTTTCCATCATCACATAAAGCATCTAAAAGAGTCCTATAGATTACAACATCCTCGCCATTACCTTTCAGAGAGATTCTCCAAAACATTGAATACAACAAATGAATAGCCTCATGTAACCTCTTATCCTTACACAATCCCTTCATCACAACAAGATAACTACCTCTATCAGGATAACAACCTTGATAATCCATCTCTTGAAATATTTGCAACGCCAAATCCGATCGACTCTTCCGACACAAAGCATACATAAGCAAATTCAACGCCCGAACGCAAGACTTCACTTCCCAACCACAAGAACTCTCAACAAAAAGACCATGAGCATCTTCAAGCTTACCCTCATTCACCATTATCTCCAAAAGGGTATTGAAAGATTGTGTCCAATTCACACAATTAAACTGAGGAATCTTCTTATATAGAGAGATTGCTTCATCAACTAGCCCTTGTTTTGCATATGTCTTAATTGCGGAAACAAAGACGGAATCTTTGCACTCACATGAATCTTGTTTCATTTGCTCAATCAAATCACTCATCTCTTTGAGTCTACCTGATGATCCAAGGATAGTGATCATGGTGGCATAAACAGGACCATTGTGGGAATATTTAGGGTATTTTGATTTGGCTATGTTGAAAATTTCCAAAGCCTTTAAAGGGTTCTTTTGAGTTCTTATAATCTGAGAAAGCTGAGTTGGATTCAACACTCTTGGCCACCTTATACTCATAGTTATACTTTTGCAAAGCGATTAAGTTATAGGGTTTAGGGTTTAAATTTGGAGTAGGAGAAACAGAAAATCAACAGAAAGAATCTCAATTTTAGAAAAACTTTGAAAAACAAGAGTAAAAACTAACCAGAACGGTGGCGGCGCGAGAACGTTGTTCATAATGGAACGGCGGTGAGTGGCGGGAAGAATTGATTGATGGGTACGTCGGTGGTTAGTGACGGTGGTTGTTGTTGACGGAGAAACGACAGAACTGAACTGTGGAAGGAGAAGACGCGAGATTGGGCCAATTGGGCTAGTTTGAGTTATATATTTGGGCCTTAACGCCCGAAGCTAATTAATATGGTATGCTATTTCCACCCTATTTATTAAAAAACACTTTCTTTTTTTCTTTTCTAAAATACCACTTCTCCCCGATGGACATGTTATCTGGTCTTGAAGTAAACGTTGCTAAGTCAAAAGTGTTCTTCTCAACTACCACCAAGAAGAATAAAATAGATTTAATTGTCTCCAACACGTGTATCTAGTGAATTCTTACTTTAGAGAAATACCTGAATTTCCCTATGTTGCATGGTCGTCTTCTACTCAAAGACTTTGAGTTTTTTGCAGGAGAAAATTTATCTGCTCTTAAAGATGGATTTCAATTTAGATTTGGGATGATAACTCCTACTTTTGGCTTACCAATTGGTCTTGGGTTGAGAAATTAGCAGAACATGTTCTCTATATGGATATCCACGATCTAGAAATGTGAGTGAATGGTATTTTTCTTGGATGAGAATTAGAACTTCAGCTCATTATATATTAAAATTCCTCCGTTTGTGATTGCCTGAAAGCGATCCCCATTTGTTTGAACTCTATGGTGTCTGATCGATTAACCTGGAGAGGCAATTTATATGGTATATATACTGTTCAGGATAGTTATAACTAGATAAATAAACTTAAATTTGTTCATAATACAATAGACAATAATCCATGAAAGTGGGTATGACATATTCCTGCTTCTAAAAAGGTGAAATTCTTCCTTTGGATGATTTTACATAAGCCTCTTCCTACAAGATCGATGTTGTGTCATCGTGGTATGCTCCAGACAAATCTTTATCATAAATGCAATTAGAAACCGAGATAACTCTTTACTTCTTGAGAGACTGTGAATTACCTACTTGCTTTTGGAAATCTGTTGGCTTCTCAAACCCACTATTCTTTCAATGGGATAATTTATATGATTGGACTAGACATGACATCGATGGTGAATCTATCTTTTTAGTTGCTTGCTGGTGGTTGTGGCGTACTATGAATAAATTGTGTTTTGATAATGAAGTGGTATCTTTCTATACTTTGAAACCCATCATAGTAGCTTCGATAATTCAGGTGTCCTGAGTTTTTGTGGATCGATTCAAGATGCTGATGGTGCTTGCGTTCACGGTTTTATGGGTAACATTGGTTATTCCAACATCATTCACGTTGAGTTGGTGATACTATATCATAGTTTGCGTATGGTCTAGGAACTTGACATCAAAGACTTGATGTATTATTCTGACTTAAACTCTGCTATCAAGCTTATCTCATAGTCAATTAATGTTTGATATCACTATGTCACAATTCTTTACAACATTAGAGTTTCTCATTAGGGACTAATAAGTTCAAATATTTCATACTTATAGAGAAGAGAATGTTTGTGCTGACTATCTAGTAAAACACATATCAATCTTTTGCGGAGTCTCCTATAAAAATCACTCTCTTACTAACTGACACTAGTGAAACTTTATTTTTTAAATAATTTTTTACTGTATTTTCTTTTACTTTTTTCACCTGTACCAAAAAAAAAAAAAATACCAAGTGAATCAGAGATATAACTTTTTAAATATTAGTGTTTACTTCAAATGTTAAAATTTCAATAACATATTATTTTTTGAAATATTATAATTACAAATTTTATTCCTATCAATGTTTTTAATTGAAAATTTAATTATTAAGGAATATTTTTTAAACTTTATTGAATTAAAAATTTATAGTAGTAAACAACAGAAAATATGCTAAATATTTTAATATAAAATTATGTCAAAATATACTGTATAGAATTTTTTAATAACAACATATTTTCATAAAAATATGAAAATTTAATACACTTTTATATAATTTTCTTAAATGAATTTTATATACACTTTTTGAATTTTTTTAATATTATTTTATAAATGGTTTGGATGAGTTCATTGAAAATATAATAATACATAAACTTAATGATTTATTCAATAGATTGGATAGTCTAAATGTATTAGTTGAGTTAAATAATTGTAAATTAAATGGTTGATCAAATATTAAAAGGAGGATAAAAGGAGGATGTACAAGTAAAAGATAGAGTATATTTAGCAATTTTGTAACTTAGCCCATAAGAAAAGTATCAAGAAAAAGATCTGAAAGAAAAACCAAAACAAAGTCTCACATCACATTGATTCAGAGACATAACACATATCAACGATCGATAATTACGAAGAAAAAAAGAAGCAGCCACCGATTTTGTTTCAGAGATGGCATTGCAGTGGATGATACTCACCTATGTGGTGGCTATTGAAGCTGCTATAGCGATTCTTCTAACCCTTCCATCACCGAAGCTCTTGAGGAACCGTTTGAATTCTCTGATTTCACTCATTCTTCAACCTGCGCTGTTCATTGTTCCATTTGCTGGGTTTCAGCTCCTAGGTAACAGTTTCTTGTTTTTAATGTTTTTTCTATAATGGGTGTTAATCAAAATCTTTCCTTTTTCACTTTTTAGTTTGTGGGCGTGCTTGAATTGTTCAAATTGATTAACTTTTAGGGGTTTAGGGTTGATTGGTTATCTGGGTATGTGGCTGATGGTGGAATTTTGAATGTTTTGATTTGGGATGGATTTTTGTTGATTGCTAGATTCAGAAGTTGAAAAGGGCTTATGAGCGTTTTTCTTCTCTTTTTTGTTGTTAATTGTGTGATTTTACCTCACTTTCATAGAAGATCCATATTCCCTAGGGTACTTTTGTGGATCTAGTGGTGGTGATTGTGAAGTTGGGTTTGTGTAATGTGAATTTAGTTCGAATATGCTTCTAATTAGTCGGGCTGTCTTTGAGGGTGTGCAAGGCGGACTACTGCTGCGCATATTCCCAAATTTGCCAGGGTTAAACTATAGTTAAATAGTGTCATAAAATGTCTATCAGCTTAAGTTGTGATTAAGTAGAGTCTCTATTTGTTTTGCCTCCAAAAACATACATGAGACGACTCTGCTAATTAGGTTTAGCTGGTGGCTAATGAACATAACAATGCATTAAACACTCCATTGAATATAATTAACTGTGTTTTCAGCATTATTAATCATAATTTTGAAGTCTAGATTTGAACTCAAATCGTGGTTAATGTATATTTGAGCATCTGAAAATCTTGGTTAGTTAGTTTTTACTCGATTATTAATGAGTTGCGAAACTCTGATATATTCATCAACAATCCACTAAATGTAAACTTGTCATAAATTTAAACCGTGTTAACCATCAATGTGTTTCCAATGGGAATTGTTTGCCATTGTCGTTTTCAAGTTTCGATGCTAACTGTAATACGGCCAGTTTTTTCAACTCAAACATAACCTCTTTATAACGAATGAGGTGAATAATAAGAAACAAAAGTTACATTACATGGATCTTACATAAATCACACAAGCTTCTTCTCGTCCTTTGTTTGCAGACATATACTGGAAGAATGAGCATAGGTTGTCGTGTACCTCTGATGTTTGTACAGCTGCTGAGAGAGATCGATATGAGAAAACTGTAAGTAATTTTGCTGATGTCAAAGTAGCTTATTTGAATAATTCATAGTTTGCATTATAAATTGATTATTGTCAATATACTGTGTGTGCTTACAAAACCATGAGACACAAAGGTATAAGTACCGACACACCTTACGTTTTTGGATAAACAACTTAGTTGTGTTTGGATAAACAACTTAATTTAGCGGTTATAGTATAAACATTTATAATAAAAATGCTTATGTATAAGTCATTTTCCATAACAAAAGATAACATGAAGTCAAACTCTTTTCATATAAGCTATTATCTCTTTTCATTAACTATCCTCTCCTTAAAGTACCTTACATCATTGATTCATCGATCATTAATTTCTTTTCTTTATTCAGACATACAAAGCTCAGAGAAACGTGATACTGTGTATTTCAGCATGTCTTCTCTACTGGTAAAGTGAATTCCCGTGTCTTTCTCGAATTTTGTTTTCGGTCCTACACTCACTTTTCAGTTCCTATACTATAAAACTACACGTTTTTCTAGTGTTGTAATTTATAGGATCTGAAAAGTGCGTACAAAGACTAAAAATCAAAACATGTATATATTACAGGAATTCAAAAACATATTTAATCCTAAAATGAACGTTGTGGCGACAGGTGTATATACCGGATTTGCAAGTTTCAGAAAGATATTGAAAGTTTGGAGGAAGTTGAGAAGAGAATCAAGTCTAAGTAGAAGCTTCTTTTTACAATCTATGTTGTCATGGTTAGTGTAAAAGAGGTTTTGAAAGATGTTTAGATGAGTCTTACTTGTATGAGCATGCCAGAGTTATGTGCCAAACTTTGCTATATGGCACACTTATCATTCTGTTCTATGTTTTCAACTTTCAGTGTTTTCTTATGACTTGTGTGTAGTGTAATGATTTAGCAGCCTATATATGTAGGTGGAATATATTTCTTTTTGCCTCTTTTTGACTTTTCATTTATTTATGGAGTTTTCGTCAACACTTGATATACATAATAATCACTTCAATGAAAATTCAAAAAAATATTAATATTTTTTTAAATGGGGTGCAGATAAAAAAATTAACTGCACACTACTTGCACAATTAAGTAAACCTACTTCTCAGCTTGAAATCAAATTGTAAAAAAAAAAAAGCCAATGAGTTGACTAGTACTAGATCAATATTTGGAGAATTTCCCAACTCAATAGTTTATAGTGAGTGATAACTGTTGGAGAGAAACTCCAGTCACAAGATAAAATGATGAAAATAGTGGTTATTTCGTTAACAACCCAACATGGGAATATATACAACAATCTAGAATAATGTAGCAAACCAACAAACAAAAATATCGACCATATAATTGATTACATAAAGCATGTAATCTATTACAAATGCTATTGTCTTGAAAAATATTAAAATCTAGATGGTAATTGGTTACATCAAATATGTAATTGGTTACATGACATACTATTTTAATTTTTTAGTGTTGGAAGGGGTGGTAATCGGTTACATCTATGCCGTAACTGGTTATAATAATTTGAATTATGAAAATTTCGTAACACGCCACTATAATTCAAGTCTTTCATGCTCATGTGCTTCTTCAACCTCTTGAACAATTCAATTGTCACTCCTTTGGTTAGCAAATCGGTCACTTGCTCTTCACTTTTGCAATGCCCTAACTTCAATTTTCCTTCACTTACAAGCTCTCTCAAGTGGTGAAATCTCATTCTCATATACTTGCTTCTTCCATGTACAATTCTTTGCAAGATTTATAACAAAAAAGTTGTCTATCATTAAAGTCATAGCTTTATAGACTTCGTAGAACAACTTCTTCATCAAATTCATCAAGCATATAACTTGACACGCACACATAGATGTTACAATGTACTCAGTCTCGCAAGAAGAGAGCGCCACAACTGGTTCCTTCTTAGAACACCAAGAGATTGGTGTTTCTCCATACATAATAGTGTATCCAGTAGTGGATTTCTGTTATCTTTATCTCTACACCAGTTTGAGTCGGTATAATCAAGCAATTTAATGTTTCTACCTTTATCTGTTGTGGGAAACATAATTCTGCGACCAATCAAACCTTTGATGTATCTTAGAATTCTCTTGACTGCTGCTAAGTGTGATGCCTTTGGCTTTCCCGTAAATCTACTCACTATGACCACGCTATATGACAAGTCCGGTCTCGTATTGCACAAGTACCGCAATGATCCAATCAACCTCCTATATTGTGTTGGATTAATATTCTACTCATCTTCATTCTTTAATAGTTGAAACCTTGGTTTTGCAGGGGTAATAGTCACATTACAATGCACCATTTCAAACTTATTCAATATTTCAAGTGCATACCCCATTTGATGCATAACCAATTCCTTTTCGGACTTGTGAAACTTAATGCCAAGGAAATATGTCATGAGATCAAGATCGATCATCTTAAACTCCTTCATGAAATTACCATTGAATTCAGTAATGTAACCTTTATTGTTGCCCGTAATCAGTAAGTCATCGACGTAGAGACATATGATAATCACTCGTTTGCTTGTATCCTTCTTCACATACATACCATCTTCGGATACACATTTATCAAATCTTATCTTCTTTAGAAACCCATCAATTCTCTTGTTCCAAACTTTTGGTGCTTGCTTCAGCCCATACAACGCCTTCCTCAATCTATAAAACTTGTATTCCTGATTTTTCACAGTAAAACTAGGTGGTTGTGCCACATACACCTCCTCTTCTAAAGGTCCATTCAAAAACATAGATTTCACTTCTATTTGGTAGATGAACCAATTGTTGTTATTTGCAAAATTAATAACTAACCTAATAGTTTAAATCCTAGCTATCGGTGCAAATACTTCTTCAAAGTTTATGCCTTCTCTTTGCAAAAATTATTTTGCCACTAATCGAGCCTTATGCTTGATTATTCACTACTACAAAAAGTGTTCTTTTTACCTTAAAAGCGAAATGCATAATACCTCTGCGATAGAAGTGAGGTAACAGAGAGCGACATGATAACTTCCAACGTATTACCTCTGTGGTATTAAAATCGAGAGGTAAAGTTAAATGCACATGAGTTCGAACCCCAACAACAACACTTTTATTATTTTCAAAACTAGCGTATCTTTCATATCGGTTTATCTTGAAAACCGAGGGGTAAGATAATTTTTTTTAATAATAATTATTACATTGTTTACCCAAAATATTAGTTGTTTTCCAAGAATATTACATTGTTTACACAGAATATTACATTATTTAAAATAAAAATCAAATTCCCTAGAGATCTAGGTAAAATTTGAATTCCCAGAAGATCTAGATTTTAGATCTTCGAATTATTGAATCTTGGGAAAGATTAAATGTTGGATGCAAGATTATTCTCTATGGGTCTTGCATGCATTTGATTCTGAAGCAAAGTAAAATAAGAGTTAGATAAATAAAATAAATATTCAAATATATGATTTTATGCTCAAATAAATATTTAAGGAAAAAAAACCTTAAACCCAAATAATTTTCTGCTCTTACAATCCATCTTAGAGAATTTTTCCAAACGTCTTTATGTTTCAAGCGTTTCATGTTTCATTTATGTTAGATTTTTAATATTCAACATGCTTTTATAACGGATGTCCCGTTAGTTTCACCCGAATCACTAATGTCAGATTCATGAGCGTTGAAGATTTGTTTAAGAGCGTTGAGTATAGTAAAAAAACGCTTAACTATCCTCTTGGCCAAGAATAAAACTGAGGTGAATAAGTTGTTTTTTCTTAAAATTACATTGTTTATATAGAATATTAAAAATACATTGTATATAATTTAGTAATAGGGTAAAATCTATTTAACGAGTGTTTTAAAAGTAAAATATATTTATTAACCACCACAGTTTTACTATAAAACCGAGGTTTTATATTAACTATCACATTGGTGTTAAAAAAAACCGAGGTGACTATTTTTTTTTTGGAAAATACATTGTTTACACAGAATATTAAAAAATGTTGTTTACAATAAATCTTCTATGATATCCAAATTTTGTTGCATACTGACTAAAACAAATTTTTTTGAAACAAGAATGATTTTCTGCATTTGCAATCTATCAATTGAGTACTCTTTAAAGGTTGAGCTAGTTCCCTTCTTTGTTGGTTAAGCTCCATTCTTTATTTAACTGGAAGTAAGAATGATTTTCTACACTTGCAATCTATCATCTGAGCTCTTTTCAAAGGTTGAGCTCACATCATTGTTGGCTAAGCTCATTTCATTGGGTAACTTGAAACAAGTATGATTTTCTGCACTTGCAATCTATCAAATGAGTACCCTTCTTTAACCGAGGGTTATTCCAAAAAATACAACAACGACAACATCAATACCATTATGTGAGATATATTGCAAGGACAGAGAAAATGTTTTGTTCAAGATAGAAGAACATCGAAGATGTTTTCTGTCTTGCAATCCATCATAAAGAATGATGTTTTGTGCGACTTTATATTAGTAAGGATTAGGGTAAAATCTTCTTAGCGAGTACTTTTATAGTAAAATCTTATTATTTTATGACTCGGTTAAATAGGAAACCGAATGGTTATAACCTTTTGTTTACACTTATAAACAAATAGAATCATAAATTGTGATATCTGAGAATCGATGCTTGTACTGATTTGTTTTGTCACCTCGGTGGGAATTTATGTTATTTATTTATTTTTTTAAATAATAAAAAATAACGCGCCTTTGCTTTATATCTCAGTTTTCTATTGTTCGGGGTGAAAGATTCATCATGAAAAGCGTTATTTATTGTAGTGATTTCACCTTTGAGATTTTTCTTCACTTTTTAACCCATCTTACACCAATTGACTTCTTTCCTTGAGGTAGATCAACTAGTTCTCATGTTGTATTTTTCTCAATTAACTTCAGCTCCTCCTTGATTGCACATATCTATTTTGGATCACTCAAGGTCTCTTACATTTTCACTGATTTCGATTCATCTATGAGCGCAAAATGAACAAGATCACCGTTATCGTTCACTTTATTATCCAAAATCAACTCACAATCTTGCAATCTTGCAGGCGTACCTCTTTTTTATGTTGATCTTCTCACATTTTATTCAACTTGGACTTCCTCAATTGCAGTTTCTGCACTTTCAAACACTGCAGGAACATTTGAATCAGTGTTATAACCGGTTACAACTGATTGGTAATCACGTACAACATGATTTCAGTCCTTCAATTAATTAAAAATCACATCCCAACTCATTACAGTTCTCTTGCTAACTGCATCATAGAGTTTCTAGCCACTCATCGAGTGTTACTCAACAAGTATCATTTGTTTTCCTTTGTCTTCTAGTTTCTTTCTAAGCTGATCTGGAACATGTATATACGCAACCGAACCAAAAACCTTCAAGTGACTCATATTTGGTTTGAATCCGCACCATGATTCTTTTGGTGTAATATTTTTTAGCTTCTTTGTTGGAACCTATTCAACAAATATGTAGTTGTGGACACTGTTTCTCTACATATCTTTTTTCACAAGTGCTTACCTTTCAACATGCTTCTCATGATGTTCATAATTAATCAATTCTTCCTCTCGGTGCCTCCATTTTGTTGAGGTATATAAGGTAGGCGGTGAAATTACCTCATGTACAATGACTTCTTGATCACAAAATTTCCCAAAATAATTTGAGACATATTCACTTCCATCATTTGTCTTTATACCATAGATTTGAAATTCTTGAACGCTTCCAGCCCCT